TGGGGAGGAGAAGAATCCAAAGTATTAGTAAAGAATTAATGAATTCAGACAGTCTACCATTGAGTTTTGAGAAGAGGGTTCCAGGGGTTAGACAAGTAATAGGACATGAACCCAATTGTCACTTCATAATGCAGGCAGTAGAGTTGTTTGGGTGATGGGATTTGATGATGGGGCTTCTTCCTTGCCCTTTTTGTGTATTAGCAGCTCAGGAAGAAAACTAAGACATAGCCCTGTGTAGAAAATTACATCCGTCAAATGGCTCTAAGGTTTCCATCACCAAGTTTCTGAAATGAGCTGCCCAAGACAGAAATTTGAGCATGTTGCTGACTTCTTTTCTCCTGGTCCTGTCATCAGGTCCTCAGACTGTCTTGACAGCTTCGAGTTCTTTTGTTGCTGCATGCTTGCTACTTTTTCAGTTTTTCTAGGAATTTAGTATTTCATTGTGCCTGAGATAGGCAGTTGCTAGTCTCGATATTGAATACCTTTCCTGAGCTATGAAGTATTAGACAGTAGTGGATAATAAAGTACCCACAACTACATTATAGAACAGGTTCTGGTGACTGTACCAGGGGGACAGACTGGGGTGGCATGCCCTCATTCTGCTCAGGGTTGTTTGCCGCATAGTGCCGAGAAGCAGGTTGAGCCTCAGCTGGGCCAATTCCTGTATCTGAATATGAAAGTGGCTCGTTAACGATTAAAGGGACCTCCTAGTCCTTCTGGCCCCAAGATGGAATGATCTCTGCCATGGCGACAGCATCTTTCTCCCAGGAGAGGCCATTTTATACAGCAGGTTTGTGCTTCCAAATGCTACAGAGAGCTGCGCTGGCCGATACTGTGGCGATAGGTTGACATCTGGGCACTCTCAAGACATATGAGCTGTATAGCATCCCATGGTTTGAATTTCTGGGAAAACTGCCTCATCAGGAAGTCAAAAGCCTCAACTTTGGACCTGTCCCTATGGGGGAGGTTTCTACCTTTGTTTCATTTGACTGTTCCGTGAGGTCAAGTGAACTTTAATTTTCACGCTATAAAAATTCCATTAAGTCCCTTGTACTGTATCCCAGGTGTGAAAATGTCTCAGTGCAACAAGACTGCTGGTGACAGTTAAGGTCCTTAATAGTAGTTAGGATAATTGTCTTTGGAGATTTGAGAAAAATAATGGCCCAACCAAGAAAATAATAACAGTTCACTGACATTCTTTGTGGTTCTTGATGGGTAAGAACAAGGACCTGCTCATTGTGACTACTGTTCATGGTAGTCTTTGAAAAAAAAAAAGTACTTCATTTTACTCCAAACAGTGCTTTGGGAAAATAGTTGTAACCTGCTTCTCAAAGGACCATCCCAGGCTGTCTGCATCCAAACCACTTGGGAGAGGGAGGTATTTATTTAAAAGTCCCATTCTGGGGCCTCTTCACTTCTGTTAATTTAGAGTGTCTGAAGGACTGGGATGGGAAATTATCGGTTTCTGTGAGCATCCTTGTTGGTTCTTAAGCAGCCCTAGAGTTGATTCTTGACTATCCTAAAGTTTACTTCATTTTTCCTGCTTAATTTCTGTAATTTGTCAGATGATAGATATTTGCATGGCACCCATATTATTTTTCTTAAACAGTAGGTACTCTTGTTTATAAAAGGGCAGCAGAGATAATAGCCTTCACATCAAAGTTTAGAATTTGGCAATGCTCCTAATTATCAACAAGAGAGACAGCCACTTGTACCTGGAAATTTGGTTTATTGATTCACTTTCAGAAAAAGGATACACATGTAAGATTAATTTTATTAAGAAGAAATGCACTGGATGTGTGGTAGCACATGCCTATAATCTCGGCTTTCAGAAGACTGAGAGAGAAAGATCATGAGTTTGAGGCCAGTGTGGACCTCAAACATATAATACCCTGTATCCAAAAAAAAAATCAAAAACTGCTAAAATTAAAGATGACTGCTTTGTGATCCTTGTTCCCCCCTTGCTCCACTTGCACTTTCCTCCCTGGATATGTGGTCTTCCCAGTCCTTTTTGCATAGACTTGTTAATTTTGATGGATTTGGAAGCCTAAAGAATCTCGAGGAATGAATATTTTAATTTTTTTGTTGTTAATAGTGTGTGTAATATTAAGGTCTATTGCAGAAAAATGTCATTACATACTTAGTCCAAGTAAAACAATGTATGTGAGTATATGCAATTTTAAAAACTTTAAATTTTGTGTGTGTGTGTGTGTGTGTGTGTGTGTGTGTGTGACGGGGGCAGATCAGACAACAATGTTTTGGGAGTTAGTTCTTTCCTCTACCTTGTTTTGAGGCAGGATCTTTCTATCTGTCCAAACTACTCCAGGCTAACTGGCCCACATGCTTCCAGCTGATTCTCCTTTCTGTTTTCTATCTTGCCTCCCATCACACTTTAGGAGTGCTGAGAGTATAGGCACATGCCACAGCACCCTGGTTTTTACTTGGGTTCTAGGAATAGAACTCAGCTTTTGGATTGCAAGGCAGCACGTTTACCCACTGAACATCTCCCTGGCCCCTATTTTTGTTTTGAGACAGGGTCACATGCTGGCCTACAACTCACTGTGTAGCCCAAGTTGTCCTCAAACTCATGGCAGTCTTGTTTCAGCCTCTTAAGTGCTGGGATTATAGGCATGACCTAGTACACCTAGCCTATTTATTTCTGTATATGTACATATATACATTGTAAGCTCAAAAAACAGACTTCCACAAACAGCAACAACAACAAAATAAACAAACAAAAAAGCAACAGCAAAACAACTACAAATAGCTTTGGGTTGTAAATTGCATTTTAAAACTGAAAGAACTTAATGGCAGAGCCAATGTTTTTTTCCTTATTTCTTATGTAGCCTCATGGTCTCATAATTCTTACATAATCTCATAAAACCTCAAGTGCTCGAAGCCATTAGTTCAAATTTAATATGTTTTATAAGCTCCAAATGTCCAATCCTTACCTTTCCAGTCCAAAAGAAGGATCTAGGAGGGGGTATGTCTATATTTTAGAAAAACAGATAAAACCATCAGAATCCCAGAGAGGCAGAGGATAACCCTTAACAGCTGGGTGTCTTGGCAGAGTGAAAAGTTCAGATGCTTCTGGTGCTGGAGTAGCTCTTGGTGTAATTCACATTGACTTCCAGTATACTACACTGTCTGGATTTTCTCTACCCTTAGAGTTTACCAATATAGAAGGGACCAGGAGCTTTTCTAATAATATCGTTTTTTGGTGGGTTTTTTGTGTATTCCTCCCCCCTCAAAGGAGGCTCTATATTTGAACCTGGAGAATTGTTTCATATTAGAATGTTTGTGACTTATCAACTACAGAAATATTTCCTAAAGTGAGGCCCATGAGATAATGGTTGTCTACTGCCATAAAGAGGCTTTTATCACTGGAAAAGGACTAATTAACACACACAACAGGGGAACTTTCTTTAAACACTGCCACTTTCTGAATAGGAAACACTGAAGGGAAGAAAACAAGGAACATTTATAATACTTTATAAAAGCCCACAGTGGCTGTCCTATTGGAATAATAATAGTTATGGAGAATTGTGTGCCTGGGGTAAAGGACTTCAAAACAGCCCCCCTCCCCCCAAAAAACTAGTCCCTTGGAAAGGAGTAGAGTTAAGTAGCATAGTTTTAAAAACCCAAATTCTGTCTGCATGTACATTTTAATTAACTTGACTTGCTGTTGACTGACAGGCTGGGTTGGCAGCTCCATCCAGAATTCATGCCATCTGAGACCTACTTTGAAAGATGGAGGAGGCCAGGTGTGGTGGCCTTGAATGTCCTTACTGGTGGGCATTGAGGGCAGCACTCACATGTCTTGATCAAGTAACAGAAGGGTCTGGTGTGAACTGTAACTTTTTTCTTGTCAAAACACCTAGACTACAAGGACTTGATCTTTTGTTTTCTTTATGTAACATCAATGCCAATTCTAACCTATCAAGGAAAAATTCAATAATAATGAATAACTCTTGATGAGCCAGTCATTCTCAAATTGATTTTTTAATAAGCAGGCTAATAAGTGTGAATTGATATACATTCAGGGATTTTGCTTTTTTTTTAAAAAAAAAATATTTTTTATTATTTTTATATGTATGAGTGTATTGCCTACATGTAGGTAACTGCACCCATGTTGTGTAATGCCGGCTATTGGATCCCCTAGAACTGGAGTTATGGACCGTTGTTAGCTGCCATGTGGGTGCTGGGATTCGAACCCCGGTCTTCTGCAAGAACAACCAGTGTTCTTAATAGCCGAACCATCTCTCCAGCCCCAGATTTTGCTTTTAAAGAGCAAGTGTTTAGGCGATGCTTACAGCCTTCTGTGTTCCTTAAGCATCCCGAAGGTATGTTGATGGCTGATTTAGCTTTAGCATAAGGGTGTGGCAGCTGGTAGAAAGACAGGGAAGGAAGGGAAAAAGAGGGTGGGAGGGCAGGAGGAAAGAAAAAGAATCAGCCTTGCAGCACTTCTGCCTTAATGAGAGAAGTCCAGTTGTCTAAGGAGTAGAGAGGTAAATAAGCTGAGTGTCAAAGAGAAGTGAGCCTGGTTAGAACTGATAAAAATTCACCAGCTAGTAGTGACTGAGCCAGTTCCCCCAGTCTACTGACCCAAGCATTCCAATTTGTAAATACAAAGCAACTCTGGGTCACCCTCCTGGGAAAATCTTCAGAGCTGTGAGCCTGCTACCTGCAACAGTCTGCTGTGGGGAGCTCTAGGCTGTGCTCAGATGAAATTTCAGAAACTGGCCCTCGAGCAAGTTTCTAGGTAAGGGCTCTAGCAGCAGGGAATAAGCTTTACCTACCCCCAGTTATCAGCCCTTGACTTAAAGCAATCAATGGGGTGCCTCATCTTTGCTAGGCTGCAGTTGATTACAGCTGCTCAGGCTGGGTTGTATGGGAAATGGAGTTTTGCTAGCGTGAGTCAGCACTGTCCTGGGTAAACGGTGAGTTCTGTTGCAATCTTGCTTACCAAAGACACGTCCCCAGGCGGCACCATTCACTGTGCCTGAAAGCCGCTGCTGTTGGCCCCCTGAGATGATCTCATCGGAACATGGCTTCAGCGACCTCAGCCGTAGCTTCTGCTGGCAGCTTGCTGGCAGCTGTGGCAGTGTTTTGAAACAGGCAAAAACAGGTAACCCCCAGACAGTTTTGGTTTCCTTAAGCCAGACTAAGCTGGGGGTGGAAACTGGGAAAATCAGTCTTCAGAAGTGAGCCAAGGCTTCTCAGTTTGGGAGTCTTAAAGTCTACCCTTCTGTTCTTTGAAGGGGTCCTTGAGGGAGTTTCCTTTCTTTTGGGATCTGGGTGTTTTAGGCCTAAGTAGCCCATCGATTTATGAGCCTTACAGAAGTCAAGCGTGGTACATATACAGCTTTACTCACTTTGTTTTCCTGGGGTTTTCTTTTGTGCCTTGTGAGAAACAGTTTGATCAAGCTAAACCATGGTGAAAGTGAAGGCAGACACTTGCTTACCTTCCAGTAACTGACTACTGAATTGCATTGTTTTAGTGACTTTGCGCCCAGCCTCCTTTCTGTGGGATTATGAAGAACTCACTCCTCTCATCCTGCTTCTATTCAGGTTCCTGCCTATCCCCCTCCTGTTACTTATCTCTAAACTTTAGCTCTTAGCGGACAGCTTGTCCGCTCCCTCCTTCCCTCCCTCCCTCCCTCTTGCTTCTCACACTTAGAAAGATGATCGGTGTTCTTTCACTTCAGGCTTTGTACACATGAGCCTTCTCTGAAACACCTGGCCAGCTGATCTTAGTCTAGAAGTCACTACTTCGGCAAAGCAGCTTCTGCCTTTTCTAGGATGGCTGAAGCTCCATTCATAGGGTGTGTGATATATGTCCAACCACAGGATGGAAGTATCGGACTCTGGTTTGTATATGGTACTTAGTTCTCAGTAAAGGTAGAATGAGGAAGGTAGCTGTGTTAAGAGCAAAAAAGGTCTCATAGAAATTCTAGTGGGGGGCTGGAGAGATGGCTTAGTGGTTAAGAACACTGGTTGTTCTTGCAGAAGACCTGGGTTTGAATCCCAGCACCCACATGGCGGCTAACAACTGTCCGTAACTTCAGTTCCAGAGGATCCAACAGCCTTTTCTGTCCTCCTTGGGCATTGCACGACATGGGTGCACTTACCTACATGCAAGCAATACACTCATACACATAAAATTAAAAAAACCACTGCTGAGCCATCTCTCCAGCCCCTTAAATAAAATATTTTTTTTAATGTTTAAAAAAGAAATTCTAGTGGGCAATTAAGTTTCTGCAGCATGTCATAACTTTTGGGGTGCTACCATATGTCGGACTGTATGAAATTAGATTATAGAAAAATGAGTCATCATGGCTTAGAAATAAATCTTTTGTTAGACACAAATGACATTCGATTTTGGTTCCTTCATTCTTGAGAGGATAATCAAAGATTATTAAAAGGTTGAAAAATAGGTCTTACATGTTTAAAAAAAAAGATGTTAGCTTAGAGAAGGAAAAGCTAAGAGGATAGCTTGATTATTTTCCTCAAGCACAAGTATAGATGCCAGAGGGCTTTTGATTAATTGTTCTTCATGTACTTCAGAGATTTTAGAGGAAATGGGCTTAAATTGAAGGAGTAATTTTGATGAATAAGAGGAAGAATTTTTTTGATCATCAAATTTAGGAAACATTTGAATGACTGCTACAGAGAGATTTGAGTTTTGGACTGCTCCGTTTAACTATTACCCTGTGTCTTAGTTACTTTCTATTGCTGTGATAAAACACTAACCAGAAACACATTGGGGAGGAAAGTGTTTATTTTACCTTATAGCTTACAGTTCATCGTGGGGGGAAGCCAGAGCAGGAACCTGGAGGCAGGAACTAAAGCAGAGACCGCTGCTTACTGACTTGCTCCTCTGGCATGTGTTCAGCCTGCTTTTATACAACCCAAGGTGCCCATGGGTGGCACCACCAGCAGTGAACTGGACTCTTCCATATCACTGAATAATCAAGAAAATGCCTTATAAACATGCCATAATCCAGGCCCGGTGTGTTAGTGCACACCTTTAATCCCAGCACTCTCTGAGTCAGCCTGGTCTATATAGTAAGTTCCAGGCTAGTTGGGGCTATAGGGAGACCCTGTCTCAAAAAAGACCAAAAAAAGTAAAACAACGCATACATGCCATAGGCCAGTCCAATAGAGACAGTGCCCCAAATGAGGTATGTCAAGTTGACAACTGAAGCTATCCTGTATAATTAATTACCTCAGAGCTTTTGGTAGCATAACATGACAACATGTCATTGCTAATGATATGTGAGTCTGTGGTTCAGGGAAAGACGACACATTGCTTTGTTTCTCTTGATGCTGGTTGGGTGAGAGAATCCAATTTGGCCTCACTCACCCGTTTGGGTGTTGTGCTAGCTGTTGGCTGGGACTTGTTGGTTCTCCTCCACGAACTCTTTCTCTTTCCTGGTCTCATCATTATTGAACAAGATCAAACTCCTGAGTCATAATGGAATCTACAGGGCCAATATGTTTAGACTGGTCTCTTTTGTCCCACTCTTGGCCAAATGTAACTGAGATTCAACAGACTAGGACATAGACTCCACCTCTGGAAGGGTAAAATGTTGAAGTCACCCTACAAAGGACCTCCTGCAGTATGGTTGGGATTATTACTGCCAATTTCAAAACAGTTTACCTACTGACCTTAGAGGCTTTTCATGAGAGAATAATCAATGTGTTTATTGAATGGGTAGTTGGGCATATGATTCACAAACTTGGTACATCAGTCATCTGGGAGTTTTTTTATAAGCTCAGACACCTAGGTCCCAGACATGTGACTCAGCGTCTCCCCGGGGGCGTTGGCTTGTAAGAGACTCTGTCCTCTCAGGTAACTACAGAAGCATGTATGGGGGTGGGGGATTGGTCCAGATAGGAGAAGCATGTGAGGTAGAATGGTAAGTGCCTTAAGACAGGCCAGCTGGTTGGTCTTCTGCTTCCCGGATGTGGCTAACCCCTCTGCCTGCCATGCTCTTCCCTCCACTCTTTCTTCTGTAAGTTATATCTCATTAAATCAGCACATCATCAGAGCTGTGTTTCTTACTTAACTCATTTTTTTCTCTCATGGTGTCTAGTGCTTTTCCTTAATAGCATGTTTTAGTCAATAATTAAATACTTGTGAGATGATTTGACTGATGTGTAATATACAAGAATGTTTTTTTCCCTCTTTCTAACATAGTGCCTCTCTTCATAAGAGACTCTCAGTGTCTGTTAAATGAATAACTGGTTGATTGAATACATGTATGCATAAAGTGGTATCTGAATTCAGTTTCAAAAGGTGATTAGGATTTTGGATGGGTAGAACAAGTGAATAATAAATTCATTGTTTGGAAGTCTAAAGTGTGGATCATATTGCTTTCAGAAGATGAAAGAACTGGTTTGGAAAAGTTGAAAGGTTTAGTTTTTAGTGTACTTAGTATGCTCCATTTGAGTTATAGATAGCAGGCCTTTAGAAACAGAGTACTAAAACTGAGGTGAGAGTGATGTCGGGGAGAGTATTATGGAGTGTATTCTCTCAACAAGTACGAAGAGCCCCTGCTGTGTGCCAGACAACTATTTACAGGGAAAGTGTGCTGAAGGCTGACTGATAAAGAGCCTCCCTTGAACAGAGCTGGGGAGAATGTTCCAGCTAGAAAAGGAGCCACAGATGTCTAGGCCTGGGGGCAATAAAATTATCTTTTGAGAAATTGAAAGCAGGGTGATAGAAGGCTAGAGCGGGTGAATGAGGGGGCAGAGAGGCATGAGTTAAGTGGAAAGACAGGCAGAACACTATCACATGGGGTCTTTGTGGGCTATATAGAGACCCTTGACTTTATTCAAAAGCATGATGGGAAACCACTGAAGGTTTTGAAACAGGAAAGATAAGTAGTAGTTTATTTTTTTTATATTTTTTAAATTTTATTTTATGTGTTTGAAGTATTGCATGTATATAAGTGCACTCTTGTCATGCAGTGCTCGAGAAGGTCAGAAGAAGGCATTGGATCCCCTGGAACTGGAGTTATTGATGGTTGTCAGTCACCATGTGGCTGCTGGGAATTGAACCAGGTCCTTTGCAAGAACAGCCAGTGTTCTTAACCATTGAGCCATCTCTCCAGCCCTGAAGTTTTTTTGTTTGTTTTTAAGAAATGTTTACTGTGATCAGTATAGAGAACAGAGTGGCTCTCTTTAGCTATTTTTTTTTCATTGCTGTTACAAAACACTTGACAGAAAACAACATAAGGGAAGAAGGATTTCTTGAGACTTGTAGTTTAAGAGGCTACAGTCCATCACGGCAGGGAAGGCAGGGCAGAGTTCATGATGGCTGGAGCATACAGCTAGGACTCCACATCTGGGAGAACCAGGGAGCAGACAGCAGGTGTGTTGGTACTCCTTTCCCTTTTTATTCAGTCTGAGGTCCCAGCTCATGGGATTGTGCTGTCCACATGTAGAGTAGGTCTTCTCTTTTTAGTAAAGCGTCTCCAGAAATATCTCAAAGATAGACACACCCAGAGGTGTTTTTTAAGTGATCCCAGATCTCTCACCAAGTTGCCAATTACCTCTGGAGAAGAAGGGACAGGGAGGAAGTGTTTGGTCTCCATCTGGAGAGCTAGAGGCAGAAGGGCAGGGTGTAACAGTACATAGTTACAGGACATATTTAAAAAGCAAACCAGTAGGGCGTAGTTGTACAGGACTTTAGCCCCAGTACACGGGAGGCAGAGGCAGGCAGATCTCTGTGAGATTGAGGCCAGCCTAGTCTACATAGTGAGTACCAGGCCAGCTGCTGGGGCTACAGGGAGACCCTGTCTCAAAAAGATCCCCCCAAAAAAGCAAACCAAGGACTGCAGAGATGGCAAAGGTGGTTAAGAGCACTGGCTGCTCTTGCACTGGGGGTTCAGTCAACTATGTCTTGGATTCGTTATCTGCAAAATGGGTATTTCCTCATAACATTTTAACATGTTTCATGTAGAACTGATGAGATTAAATGGAAAATTATGAGAAAGCTTTAAATTAGTGAAAAGAGAAAAGACTAAGGTAATGAGTGTTTTGAGTAAAACAGACCTGAGGTCAAATTCTAGTTTTATCACTTAACTAGTATGACCTCAGGAAAGTTATGTTTCCTAGTCC